CTGCTGAACTTAAAGGGAAAATTCATTGTACATTTTGATTAAACCTAAATACATGATTTAAAATTGATTTGATTTCTTTCTGGAAACATTTGTTTTCTAGTTTCCTAATCATATATGTAGAAATTTGATTACTCAGGCAAATGGATAATAAAGCATAGTGATTTCCTCCCAGTTTCTAATGCACAGGAATAACAAGACACACAAAGCAGTACTTACTTTGGTATCGATGGCAAAGCCCGTTCACCTTCTGGGGAAAAAACAGAAAGAGAGAGATGAGATTCCTTCTATTCCTTTTGAGAAGATTATGTATAGAAATCAGAGAAAGAAGATGAGTCTTATTTCAGAATTTTAGCAATAACCCTTTAAAATGAAGTTGGTATACTGCCTATCTATCTTAGGTTTCCATGGCTTTATTTTCAGTATTTATGGCAAATATACACTGCCTGCAGGTGCAGACTATATAAAAGGTATTGCCAATCAAAACCAAACGCTAAGGGGTAAACTGATGGAAGATATTCTTCCCAGGAGGCTCTAGAAGAAGATTTTCTCATCATCAAAAGCCAACATTCTTTACCAAAGACTGAACGTCCTGCGGCAACGCCAAAACCTGTGCAGGACTGAGCTCCGCAACAAGAGAGGCCGCGATGGTGAGAGGCCCCCGTTTGCCACAACCAGAGAAAGCCCTCGCGCAGAAACGAAGACCCAACACAGCAAAAAGAAAGAAAGAAAGAAACTCCTACCCCCAACATCTTCTTTAAAAAACAAAAAACAAACCTGTGCAGGACACACAGAAATCCAAAGGAAACAAACCCACAGGTTGTGTTCCTGGAGGAACAGGGGCAGCCAAGGGGCCCAGCAGCCTCAGAGGCGTGGCCTGAAGTGTCCTGTGGACTCGACTTCGGGAGGTGCTGAGGCCCTCATGACGGTGGCAGACTCCCCAGTCACAGCTGGGCTCTGGCCAGCGCATCACAGGGAAGCTCTGCTCAGTGGCTGGGGAGATGTGCTCCCTCCCCTTCATTAGTGAACCAGGAAGCATGGAGCCCCCTGGTTTAATCTCTTTTATCTGGATGAATCTGGTGGTAAACCCATCCCACCAGTCCCCTCGCTCCCCAGGCCACGGATTACCCTTGTCCAGGTCTCCTGTCCCTCCTCCTATCCCCCAGGACGGTCCCAGTCCCGTATGGCCCTGAACACAGCATGATGCCTTCACACATTCCATCTCTTTAAAGATTCTCTTCCTTCTGGTGGAAGCATCATCCCTCAATCTTTCAAAGCTCAATTCAAGCTCAACCTCCTCAAAGGAGCCCTTCCTGAAACACCCCAAGTGGCTCTGGATGGCCTTCCTGTGCTTCTGCTGCATTAGCAGAGTGCTTCCCACGTATCAGACGACTTAGAAGGTCAGACTTGACCTGCCCACAGGCCACCCCCAACACCGGCAGAGGACCTGGCACTCACAGCCGCTGCATAATACCCAATACACTGCAGAAACTTCATCCAAATTTCCTTACTATGACTTTTTGACATCCAAATTTCAAGCAAAATAACCACGTTACACCATGAAGACCAAACTTAGAATAACTGGAAAATCCTATCATTAGTTTATTACCCCATGGATGCTACCACCACCACCTTACCCACACTCAACACTGTCAATTAATCATATGGGCTTTCAAATGACATGTCAGTGTGATTTCTAGCTGTTTTACTCTCTCTGTTGAAACTTCTACTTCCTTGGAGAGAAAAAGGAACCAGATTATGAACTATTTGGTTAATACAGACTTTATAAGAAGCTGGGCAGGAGTAGGAAGAAGGCTGAAAATGAGGCGATTAACAACTGAAGGAGCCTAAGAGAGTCAATTTTCAGGAAACAAGAACGTAGCAGAACACTGAGAGAAATGGCAACAGATGCGATAAGCAGCAGCATTATAAAAATCCCTAAGCGCTCACCAACTAAAATGCCCAATTCTAGGAGCTAACTTTTGACACTGCTTTAAATTTATAAGTTGAATGAGTAACATATGCTTTCTCATGGCATTCATGTGGTCTCTTATTTCTCAGCATAAATTCCTTAGGATTAAGGATGTATCTTTGTATTAAGCCACATTTTTATTTTCATTTTTAGAACTGAGGCCTTTAATTTTTGAATAAATTTTTTATCTATTGTTTTTTAATTAAATAATCAATACAGATTCACTGTAACAAATCTAAATCATAAAGGTCTATAATGTAGACAAAAAAAAGTAGACAAGTTGAAGCCCTCCCCCCACCTTCACATACAATTCCACCTTCCGTAGGGGTATTCACTGTCCACACTTAACTTTCCAGACTACCAGACTCCTTGTATGCTTATAAACACACACAGGTTTGGCATGTAGGTTTCAGCACGGAAACAGGGCCAGCTCGTCTTTTCAAACAGCTGCACGGCATCTCACACTCCCTTATTAGCTACTAGCTCCACCCCCGTAGACACCGGGGTCATTTCCACACTTTGTGCTACCGAAGACAGTGCAGCAGGGGCGTCGCATCAGTGGTCCTGTGCCGCTGTTTCCAGGAGGGGCCGGCAGTGCCAGGAGCAAGCGAAAGCACTGTCCCAACTCACGCCGACACAGTGGAGTGTGGAGGGCACCTCGCAACAGCCCCACCAAGAATGGGTATCACGGTCTTTCCACCCATCTAACAACAGGTTGACAGACCCAGAATGCCATCTGTCAGTGTCTGTGTCCATGAGCTTTTACCGGACAGTGTATGTCCGTTCTTCTGCAGGTGCCCATTTCTACCCTCTTATTCAATGAGCTAGAAGAACACTTGAAAAATAAGAGATTTTAATTCTTTATTGTATGTATTACAGATGTTTCCCCTTCTGTGTCACGGCTTTAAAAAGCATTTCTTTGACTAGTAGAAGCGCTTTCGTACTTATGCACTGATGAACTCTAGAGATTTGCTCTCCGTGCCTTCTGGGTTCTGGGTCAGGCTTAGGAGCAGCCCCACCCTCACAGTGTGCAGTATTTACCATCATCCTCCGTACAGAAACCCTCCTTGAGAAAGATGAAATTATGACGCTGATTCGCACAACTCCTTCCTCTGAGGAGAATTTTACTAAGATTGAAAAATTGCTACTGAGCTTTCTTGCAAGTAAAGGAAAGGTCAGATAACGCCCCACGGTAAGGGCCAAGGTCACACAGAGACTCTGCTGGAACCTGGTTCAGGGCATCGGACTTGTGACTCTTAGTTTTCTGCCCCAATGATACCACCTTTAAAAACACTTTCTAAATTCAAAGCAATTATGGTGGATCACAGAGTTAACAAAGTGCATCTGGGCACATCAGACCTCAGGTGTAGAACTCACACGTCATGGTAACTGTTAACACTCGCAAACGTGTACATGCTCCTTACCATTAAGCAGCTTACAGTCTAGAGAGGACAAATGGGTACGTACATAATCGTTACTTAAAGTACATACCAGGAAAATGGTACATTAGAGTTGTGGAAACATGTTTCACATTTATTTGAAATTAAAAAAAAACTAAATTAAAAAATGCACATGTGCTCTTGTCCACGTATTTCTGACTATAATCCATTAAAACATTTGACTTAAAATATTATTTCAATTAGGCAATATAACCTCACTTTAGGTATCTATTATAAAACAGCCATGTAATAAGTACATATGCTGTGATTTAAAATAAAGTAAATAAATTATCAGACTCAATAATTAATTCTATAAAGACAACATAAAATTGGTAACAACCAATGCCCTACTAGGTTTTTATGAGAAGCATTTCCATTTATGCTGTTTTCATATGAATGAAGAATTTAATGCATCTCATTTAATGAGATTTGATATCAAAATGTTTCTCCCTAGAGGGGAAAAAAAGCCAATTAAAATCCAACACAGGAAGATGTTAAAGCTTCAAACATTTAATGTGTAATGTCTGAATGTTATTTTTTTGTGCACCAACAAATTAATGAAGAACATTTTGGTAAATCAGGATGAAATTTAAAAATTATTCACTAAAAAGAAGATAGGTGCTATGGCACATTTAACATTTTTCATAGAATACTATCTTTATATGAAGCAACTTTCCCAAAACATTTAAATGTTTGCAAGGTACATACCCCCATTTAAAGCACAAAATGAAAACTCAAAGCTCACGGATGCAAAAATTTTGACTGAGAGTAGCCTTTACATATTTCTAAAAGCAACTTCATTACATAAAGAAAGCTATGATACACACTATATTTTCAGAAAAAAATAAATGAAGAGGCTTTATAGTGGGAAAAACATTTTTGCTAGATTAGCCACATCCTGGAATCCATGCACTTACTGGTCTTTTGGTTCATGGCTTTATAGATACCGTTTTCAGAGCACAACACCCTAACACTAACTTTTAAACAAAGGTTCCAATGATGCCTCTGCTTCACACCCTCCCTCAACGCCCTCCACCTGCTGTCAGCACAGAGAACTCGACTGCTGGGCAGGCAGGGCCCTCTGCTGTGTCTACACTTGGAGCTCAGGGCTTTCGTCATCTGCTTCCCTTGTGTGTCTCCACATACACTTCCCCATTCGCTCACCGCTCAGTCGTCCCCAACTCCCTCCAGGGATCGTCCTACCCACAGAGGGGAGTGCTGGCAGGGATCCTGTGTCCACCTGCCACGGAGCTGGCTGCCTGCTTGACGGGGACTACTGTGGACCCCCCCCCTACCACGCTATAAAGTAGGTACCATTCTTCCGTTATGGACGAGGAATCTCCAAGCCAAGGCTCATCCAGTGCGTCAAGATCACACTGAAACTAGCAGCAGCGTTGCAACGACAGCGACACTGAAGTTTCTGACGCTGTACGTGCCAGCACGGCCGCAAGCCACCTACACACGAGGCCGTCCCCCCCCCCCACTACACAAGACAGGGACCACTCTTCGTGTCTTGTGGGACGGAACTGAGGCACAGAAAGTTAAGTACTTTGCAGATGGCATGCACTCATGATTTGAACCCATAGGTCAATACAATTCCAAAGTCCAATTTTTTCCTGCTTTATTTCAGAAATCCAAATCCTCTGAAACACCCCATCTTACTGCCTTGCGAAAGGCGAAAGAGACACAGTCATGTTTCTAAGGTTCATCACATCATGCTTAGAACTACTACTCTAAGCTTTTGAGATCTATGAGAAAAAATAGGAAAGAGACTTTATTTATCATGAGTTACAAGAGACTTAAAAAAAAAAAAATGACCCAGAACATAATCCCAAAAGTTTATTTAAAAACGCTAATGGTAACCTAGAAAATACATTAAGTATGTTGCTCAAAACAAAAGGGTCTAAGCACAATGTTTCCTTTAAGCTCTGTCCAAACCCAGCTCTTAGGCTGTGAGCTGGATCACTTCCCTAGAAAAGCAAGAATACAGATCCACTGGGCTGAATTATTCATTCACTCTTCACTTTCACAGAGCGATCTAAAAGGACTACAGGCTGTGGGGTGAGCTCGGCTAACGATTCAGAGGGAGCGCTGGAACAGAAGGAGAGCTCACCTTTCTGAGGCCTGATGATGAAAGACTGCGTGGCTCCGTGCACCAGCCGGCAGTACCCATCTATCAGGTCGGCCATGTTCTCGGCAATGGTCAGGGACGGTGCTGTCACCGTCAGAGGCTGGACAGGGGAGAAGACCCAGAGAGAGCCGTTATTGTTCTTTCCAGTAATCAAAGGGACAGCTGCACTATGACATCAGATCTCTAGATACACTTGAACACAGAGTGGGAGCGAAACAAGATCTGTCATAAGGTTTGAGTGAAAAAGGAAGTTTGATATTTAAGGATGTTATTCCTAGAATATGTGACAGAAGGCAAACCCAGGCAAAAAAAAGAAAAATCACTTAAACCGAGACTCCCTTTCTAGAACAAAAAAGAGGTGAAAAAACCACTTCCCTTCAGAATGTCTGGTCCCTTAGGCACGCTCTAATTAAGAAAAGAATTTAGAAAATTAGTAAGCTAAAGTAGAGCTTAGTTTAGAAACTAGACAAATGTGGAGTAAATTTTTATCAACCATCCATCGTAATTTTTCTGACATTAAAGAAAATTAGTGGAATTTCATCATTTTGAGCATGCATAGCGTGTTCTGCCTAAGAGCTCAGAAACCATACTTTTCAAATTAAACATGCAATTATGGTAAATTTCCTAAAAAACCTATCATTAAATGTTATCCAGGAGATAATCAAAGCTGTATTTTACTTTCAAACACAAGTATGTCCTAACTCGTGTCGTCTTCATAACCTCCTTCCAAAGGGACAACTTATCTCACCTGCATTATCCTAAGTATTATCTGAGGGTAGCAAACAGAAAGGAGCACAGCCTGAAAATCATGGTTCAAACAAGAAATTACCGAGATATTTTCACGAAATTTCAATTTGCAATATGGTTTCAATATTTCATGGCATCATTTGTTTAATTCTGAGAATCAACTGCCTGGAGCCTAGAAATGCCGCGATCCCAAGGCAGTAGGAACAAGAAGGCGTGAGGAGCACCAAAAACAAACCATCCCAGCAGAGGCTGCAGCAGAGCAGAGCCCAGGTGTGCGAGTGGGGCCAGGTGAGCTCCCAGAACAGGCTTCACCCACGAGTAAGCCTGCGTGTGCCGCCAGGCTGTGCAGACTCTTCCTTCTGCAGAGTATTCTCTGTTCGTCTTTCAGAAAGGTCACCTTATGCAGTATTTGCCAAATGTTCATTTCTCGTGCCAGGCCTGCCTTTACTTTCCACACCACACGCTGATTAAGAAGAGGCTCCGGGTCCAGACTGTCTGGGATGAACTCCATGTCTACCACCTACTAGGACCGTGGCCACCATCCTGTGCTTGGTTCCCTCATCTACAGACTGGGGGTAACCAAAGTATCTCAAAGTGCCTCTTCTGCTGGGTTCTGAGGATGCCGTTTGTTGCCCTTGGCTTCTGTGTTAAGTGTCGGACAGTGGGGACATATGTGGCAGAAAGTACCAGCTGCTGCCGCGGTTATTTTCCTAATTATTACCCCCCAGAGAATGTCACATACTGCACAGTCTGGGAAATAACACTGTAACATAGTTTACAGAATTTATATGATTCTAAGAGGTTGATTTTCTTGGTAATTCATGATAATCTTCCAGCATCTCCACAATAAGGCTCCATTAATTTTTAAACCTGTTTTCTATTCTTGAGGGCATTTAATCATTATTACTTGTAATGTAACGCTTATTACATTAGAGAAAGCTGTGATTCTGATGAGCCATGAATACTTCACCTGCATCCAGAAACAATCATCATTTCTACAACAGCGCTTTATTTTCGTCTTCCCATCGTGATGCACGTGAGCCCTCCTTACCTCAGGCGCTCCTGCAATCTTCAGCTGCAGCGTCCCTTTCCTGTCCTTGTCTTCGCTGTTTGAGTACTGAATGGTCTGCACTTGATTGAAGTCGGCCAGGTGCGTGGGCTTTGGGAAGAAAAGGCAAACGCTCTGGACCACAGATGCAAGACTCATGTGAACTATTCTGTGCAGTCCTCACAGTCCCAAGCCCACCTCATCCTCCTGAGGACACCTCCCTAGACGGGATGTCTGAGGAAACCAACTGGCCATGTCTCCTGGGGGGCCATTCTCCCTCTGAGGAGCAGTCATGGACCTGCTAGGGCCACCTGCTCACTTCACGGTCAGGGATGTGTCTGCTCTCTGTGCTCCTGACGGCCGAGGGGCACTCCATCCTCAGGAGCTGCACAAGTGGTCACCAGTCCCACACGACACATGACAGAGAAAGGAAGAAGGGAGTCCCCGACCTGACCCACCCTCTGGCCTGGGGGGAACCGTGCGAAATTCTTGGCCTAAGGGAACATTCTGCTCCACTTCTCACAGAGAGAGGGACCTGTTCCCACTCCCAAAGCACCCTGAGCTAGAACAAGTCTCTGAAACGTTCTGAAGTTCCTGAGTGTAACAGTGCTCAGGAGACACTGGGTATCCAAAGGGCCCTGCCCACACAGACAGGCCAAGAGGACACTGTTCATTTTCCCAAGAGGTAAACTCCTTTTTCTGATGCAGACAAAATACGCCCATCCGTCTTTCAGCCTCTACCACTTCATGACAACGACCGGTTTGCGTGAGACGATTCCTATAGGCTTACCCAAAACAATCGGCCTAGTTAGGACCTCTTTCTCTTAAAACATCACAGGTATCAGCCCCTCCTTGCCAAGTGCCCCACTCAGCACAGATTATGCCACTGGGACTGAGCCGGAATTACGGTTCAGAAGGGGACTCCGACCCTGCGCCCCTTCACAGGGAAGCGTCTCTGCAGCACTGCTCTCAGGCACAGCTGTGCTCTCAGGGCCCCCGCACGGACGCCCACGGGCAGTCCTCCATCCCCGGGGCAGCACACAGCACGGCCCCCACGCCCGGCGCTCTCTTGGCCTCTGTCCTCACGGGCTTTCCCCCTCCCTCCCTGGCTCTCTTTCCGTCTCCTGGCTTCTCCCCTACTCAACCCACAAGCGTTCAAGGGCCACAGGGCTCTGTGCCCGGCCTGCCCGGAGAACGCCATCCAGTCCTGTGGCACAAGTGCCATCTCCAGTCCTGAGCTTGGACTCAAGCTTCCCACTCCCTACGTGACATCCTCGTGTGGACATTGGAGAGGGACTGCCCGCACACCCAGCACAGCCATCGGGACCCCCCCCTCAAAACACCTTCCCCCTCCAGTCTTCCTCACTTCAACAAAAGTACGACCATTCAACCTGGTTCCTGAGTGGAAATATGAAGGCACGATTACTGACTCCCTCCCTCCCTTACCCCACATCCAGCCCAGCTCCCAACACCCAGAATCCGTGCGTTTTCCCTCCATCCCCACGGCCACCACTCCAGTACAAGCCACCGTCTTGCACGGTGCTCAGAATCCGTCCTGCAATTGTTTCCCAGCCAGTGTCCCTTCATCCGTGTTCGTCCTCTACACAGACAGCCCCCGGAAGCCAGGGAGGTATTTTAAAATGTAAATCTGGTCCTATTAAGTCCCCTGTAAAAAACGGTACAATGCTAGCCAAAAGGAATCAAACACCCACACGATCTGACCTCTGCCTGCCTCTCTGACCTAATTCCCCACCACCAGGACCTCGTCTTGATGGGATGTGCTCTGGTCTCACTGGGGCAGGGCCATTCCCTGGGGGTTGTTTTCAGCTGATCAAAGAATGAGGAACATGAATGAGGACCAGGGCTGTGAGAGGCCATATAATGTGCAGGAAATTCCCACATGGTGAAAAACTGTCTTGTGTCCTGAATGGCTTTCAAATAACCTGGTGTTTATTCATGCTGGTGAAAAATCTGATTCTAGAACCCACATCTATTTTAAAACACAAAGTATGCTCTGCATGGAATTTTCCAGGAATGCAACTTAGGTGTAATTCAGGGAATATTACACCTCCCTGTCTTTGGAATGTTACTATGAGTTGCTCACCATTTTGGAAAAGGACATCACCGAGGGCAATGCTAGTCTGATGTTTGAGCTGCTGGCACAAGATACATACACTGTCACAGAGGAGGCCTGAGGCTCCTTCTAACACACTGGGAACCAAATATCATTAAGTCAGTGGTGACACATGAAATGAGAAATATCTCAATTAGTTTCAGTAAATGGTTATATTAAAATATTCCCATTACTGGCATCTTACAATTTAAAAAAATTTCCAAAGCACAAAAAGAAAGTTGAGTTATGGAAATTATTGTATTTAACTTATTTTTTAATCCTTCTTTTCACCCACTGTTTTTCTGCCTCATTCTGACATTACCCCTCAAGGTCGGCCACATAAGAATAAATTTTAAAGAAGTACTTAAAGGGAACAGCAGAAGAAAAGAAGAAAAATAACCAAAAGATATTAGGAAAAGGAAATCTGTGAAGACAAATACTGAAATTAATGAAGACAAATAGATTAATGCTATAACCCTAACCGCTAAGCCTGCCCTTCAAAAGCAGCTGAAGTAAATCCTTTGCAAATCTGAAAAGAAGAGACAAATCCAAACAGACAAGCTTAGGACTGAGAAACGATACAGAAATAAAGTTACTGGAAAGATAGTAAGAGTATCACGAGATGCAACTTCATGGCAACAATTTAAAAATGTAGACAAGCAGATGAGACGCTAACAGTATGAATTATCAAAACTGACACAAGAAATGGAAAACCTGAATAGATCTATTACTACTGGAGAGGTTGAAAAAATGGTTAAACACCCACCATTGAAAAAGGCACCATGTGGTTACATAGATTGATTCTATCCGCCTTCACAGAACACACAACTCTACCTTGACTTAAAATATTTCAGGCCACAAAATGATGAAAAGCCCCCTAATTCGCCTGATAAAATCAGTGTAACTTCATGTCCTCATAGAGCTAATATAAAAAGAAAAGACTAGACTGATTTCACTTATAAATAGTTGCAAAAATTCTATATATTAGCAAATATAATAAATCACTATTTCAAAAGAATAATATAGCATAACCAAGTAGGAGTTATTAAATGGCTCAATATCAGCACATCTAATCAAGATAATATAAAATAATAACAAATTAAAAGAGAGAAAACCAGGATCGTATCATTAAGGCTGAAAAAGACTTCAGTTAAATTTAGTAGCCACTCCTAATAAAAATTCTAAGCAAAGAAAGGCATAATTTAAAAACATGAAAGATACTTTACTAAAGGGACTTTCCTGGTGGCGCAGTGGATAACACTCTGCACCCCCAATGCAGGGGGCCCGGGTTCGATCCCTGGTCAGGGAACTAGATCCCACACGCATGCTGCAACTAAGAGTTCACATGCTGCAAGTAAGGAGCCCATGTGCTGCAACTAAGACCTCACACAACCAAATAAATAAATATTGTTTTTTTAAAAAAAGATACATTACTAAAACCCAACATCAAAAATTATCCTGAATGATGACACACTTGTTTTTTTTTTTTTTTTTGCGGTACGTGGGCCTCTCACTGCTGTGGCCTCTCCCGTTGCAAAGCACAGGCTCCGGATGCGCAGGCTCAGCGGCCATGGCTCACGGGCCCAGCCGCTCCGCGGCATGTGGGATCTTCCTGGACCGGGGCACGAACC